GACGGCGGGCATGACGAAGGAGGACCCGGAGGCCAGCGTGTACGACAACATCCTCGTGCTCTCCGTCAGGACGGGGATGGCCAAGCTGGAGCGCAAGTACACCGCGGCGGTCGTCAACGGCTGGGGCGTCATCGGCTGGCTCAACAAGGACGGCAACCACCCGCTCATCGACTTCTTCTCGCAGGCCAGCGCCGACATCGTCGACATGGACGCCCAGATGCTCTCTTCGGGGTGCTCGGCTGCGAGAGGAACTACCTGCGCATCCACACTGAGACGCTGACGGGAGATACGTTGCTGATGGAGATGGACTACACGACCAAAAGCAACATGGAGTCGCTGATGATGATCGGGAAGAAAGTGCTCAAGGTGGCGAGGGGGAACATCGCCACGGGTGTGTACGAGCCCGTCGCCGGCGGCGCAACCAACGAGGAGGCGCTCTTGGAGTTGGCCGGGAAGCTCTGCGAGGATCACAGGCTGCGAAAGACGACCAGCAGCAAGTGATTATCTGCCTGGTGGCCGTGTGGGCGGCGTCTGTCGGCGGGCGTGTGGGCGTCTGTCTGCGAAAGACACGCCCACACGACAGTCTCACCTCACGGCCCACGGTTCTAGCTATCTAGTATCTATATATCTGCCTGGACTCTAGGCACAGGCAAAACAAATATGGGTGGGCCATTCACCAGTAATAAACCTTAAAATCCTATGCGGAGTGCTACGACCGGTGATATAAATAACAAATAATTCATTTTCTCGAGTTCTCTTTAGTTAAACTTTTAAACTTTGACTAAAGGGCTTTGCTGCGGTACCCTAGATGACTACGAGCCATTTATTTATTTTGATCAAACGGTTATATTCACATATTACCTTTGCGGAGGTAATAGGTGGGATATACGTTAATTTAATTTTTTATTTTGTAAAGTAGTATAAATTAGGAAAGATTTAGATAAAAAGATCTTTTTTTAGATTTGATTGACGCATGTATGATCTGGCGGATATAATAAATTTTATTTATTTTTTGAATTTGATATATATAGATTACAATGTAATTTTACATGTGACTTAATACATTTGCAAATTCATGTGTCAATATGTCCTGTACTTGATTTGCATGTGACGTGACACGATGTGTTCATTATATGACTTGTTTAATGGTTTTTATTAGTTAGCATGGCGTGTTTCTTATTAGACTTTTGTGTACTGTTTAACCACTTTAATACAATCGTTCATAGATATTTAAAATAATTGTACATATACAGATTTAAATGTGAGTGTAAAAGGCGTAGAAACATGTTTATCAATAAATCTCTATACTTCTAAACCTGAGCCAAGCTCGAGCACGCCATTGGGCCACGTCGCTCATCTTCTTGGTTCATCCGATCTTGATCGGATGTCTAAAACCGGAAGAAAATTATGTGGACCCTGGGTCCAGATCATCATCCGCGAGCCCCCTGCTTCTATGGCTGCAGTGAGCTGGTGCTACGGTGGAATCTGAAAGGCTTGAGCGGTTGAGCCCTTAACTCACGGAGGCAGGTGCTGTGGTGAGCTGGAGGACGTGCGATTGATTTACCTAGCCACGTGTCAACATCATTAAGGGGGCGCACGGGGGATAAACAGGACCCTGTGTCCATGGAATTTTCCCTAAAACGGGCACAGCAACTAGCCTTTCCAGGGCTTTCCCCGAGCTCGTGGCTATGCCGCGCCTCGGGCCTCGGCCATCCGGACACGGCGGAGCTCCCCTTCCTCACCGCCGGCCTGGCTCCCACTCGCTCGCTTAATGCCGCGCACCGCCTCGTCGCGGAGCCGCGAGCAGCGCGGCCGCGTCGCGCGTCCCCATGGCCAGCCCGCTCTGGGCTCCCTCCGGCCGAGAAGAGGCCAGCCTCAGGGGCGCTCAGGCCCAGCGCAGCTCGCCGGCTCCCAACACCAGCGTCGCGCGGGCCGTGCTGCTCCCGAGCCGGGTAACTACTGACGTGCACAGCCAGCCACGGGTCACCTCTCACCTCCGGCCATGCTGCGGCCACCCCAGCCGCACAGGGGCCATGTCACCACCGCGCCGATGGCCGAGGGCGCCTTGCGCTACCATGACTGGGGGCTAGGGCCACCGCGCCTACGAGCTAGAGGGCGGGTCCGCCGCACCATGGCCTGGGGCCTGGGCCACCACGCCGCCGCCGCGCAGCCCGTCGCCCGGGCGACCGCCTAGAGCTCGTCGCGGCGGCGAACTTGCCGCGCCACTCGCCTGGAACCTCACCGCAGCCTGTCACGCCGCACACCTGGAGATGTGCGGAGGAGCTCGCTGTGCCATCCGCCTGGAACCGCGTCGGGGAGCCCGCCGCGTCTCCGCACGCGCGTCGCCCATGAGGCCCCGTGGCAGCCAGGCCATGCTGCCCCGCGGCGAACGCGCGCAGGTACTCCACCGTTGGCCCGCGCTGCCTCTTCCTCGGTGGTCATGGCGTCGGTCACGGCACTTTTTCGAGATGACCCCCCCACTCTACATCTCCGTGCCATCGCCGGCCAGGATCCGTGCTTGGCCTCTCGCAAGTCGCAAGGACAAGCTTTGTCTTCTTCTTCTTCTTCTTTTTTACACGGGAGGATAAGGATGGCTAAGCCTGGATTGACTTCACGAGGAGCAGGTGGCCAGTGGGTCCCACAGCTGCTAGCCTCTGGCCCTCCATACGTCAAAATTGCATTCCTTTATGCACTTGCCTCTAATCCTACCACTGCTTGCTTTTACGGACACAGCGAAATAGGAGGAAGCACACGCGAAATAAAGTGTACTGGTGCACGACTATTTAGAGCCAAATAAGACTATTTATAATGGCGGCTGCCAAAAAAACAACCGCCCAAAAATGTATATTTAGACGCTGAGTTTTTAGGTGGGATTCTCGTATGTCTTTAAAAGCGGCTAGAAAGATACAATCCAAGCATCACTTTTTTTGGTACATTACAAGTCCTCTTAGAAAATATATTTTCAAATATTTCTTATTCTTACAATACATTTTTTCGTTAAATCCATTAAATAGACAACTGAATATATTAGACATTTTAATATAAATATTGTGCTAACAATTATGAAAACGACATTACTGATTTTCCATTTCTTTGTTAAATCCATTAAATAGACAAAATATATTAGACGTTTCAAAAATAAATATTGTGCTAATATTTATGGAAACGACATTACTGATTTTCCCAGAAGAACCATTATTATTATAATCTTTCCATAAAACTCCAAATCCATTGCAGGGCCGGGTCGGGGCCAAATGACTCCCGTTGTGCTGCCTGTAAGACTGTAGATGGAGTGAAGGAGAGAATAGATAAATTCATATAAAATCAAAAAAATGTGTAAAATTAGTGAATCAAATTTTGTTACGTTCCTATTGATCACATCTACAACATCGAAGTGCAAAAAAATCTCAGGTTACAAATGTTTGCCGCTGCTTTTTCTCTCCTGGACACATGCGTTGCAATCGCATCCTTGAGCAGTGAATACAAATATAATGAAATAACAGTTTTAATTCACTTGACAAAATTTATTGGTCAAATTAGGTACTAATAGAAGGGTGAGATACACATAATAGGCTTCCACACTCAAGAATGGCGCGGCAATGCCGCGCCGGGTTTCTAGTATTTTCTTAATTTAATATATAGTAGGACTGTAGGAGGACAGCCTGACTAGAAAAAAAGAGCAAGGAATCGAAGTAGTCCAGGGCACCACAAGAGCGACGTGTGGTTCTTCAAGGTGGCTGGCCAACTAGACGCCTCCTCTATGATGGCCCATGAGAGGGCAACTGGCTATAGGGTGGAGAAGAACCAGTTTTTGTGCTGCGCTTCCAGAGTGCTCCTAGCAGGATGAACAACCAAAGTGCCAAATTCCTTCCTGAGGGATTAGGCTACGCGATTGCTACCGTCAACTCACCAAACGATGAATATGCCTTCCAGCAATGTTGGCGCGATAGCTTCCAACAATATTTGTTGTACAATCAACTCATACAGGAATCAACTCATACAAGAATCAACTCACCAACCACTATGCTACATGAGTTACCATCAGTTCTCTTTATTAACAATGCCCCATGTAACGCTTTCCTAGCAGTTTGGCGGGCGTGTGGCCTGTGGTGGGTGTTGGCAGTATGATGTAAACACCTTGCTGGAGTGCGTGTACTGTAACGCTTAAACGCTGCAACATGCTTCGTTTAATTCCAATGGAAATGGCGGCGGGGCGAAAATGCCTGTCCTTTCTAAAAAAAAGAATGATACCCAGTAGCTGCATTGCCATTGTTTCTTGCCTTTGGAACAGCCTTTGTTTCTCTCTTTCCACAGATGCCAGACTATGAGCATAAACAGGCTGTTTATACCTTTCCGCTTGTTAGCAGGCTGCAGCCGTCGTAGGTGTGTGTATCCACCACTGTTGCAGGGAGTCGCCGAGCTAGGACCGCATGGTTCTCGTCCGCTCGACGCTCGTGCGGCGCAAGGTTCGGGTGGCTGCTTACAACATGTAGTAACCGCTCGTCTCTGTGCGTTGCTTATAGTAGGCTAATGCTATCGTTTTCTTTCTTCCTTTTTTTTATGCTGTTCTACTTGGCTAGTAACATGTTGTTGTCTCAATGTTCTTATTTAATCATTATAATAATCCCGGAGCACTCATATATATACAGGCACAACGGTACAAGCACGTATAACTGTGTACAAGCCCACACAGATAATTTGGTAGTCGTGGATACACATACATCACACCTATAAGCAGATGTCGCTAGCAGACGTAGGAGCAGAGGTAGGGGACCTCATTTAACATACTCGATGCTGTCGACGCTGCCGACAGTTACTAGGTCCCCGGCGGACATCAGCACGATACGTAGGAGCTAGGATGACCCCAATTTATTTAAGGCAGAGAACGCCGATAGTATCACCAGCCAGGTGATCTCGGCAAACCTCGGCACGATCTCGCAGCAGATACTCGTATATATATATATATATATATATATATATATATAGGAGGTAGGATGACCTCATTTAACATAGTCGATTCTGACCTGGCCGACAGTCACCACGTCCCCGGCGGACCTCGGCACAATGGACACGTTGATCATCTCGTCCTCTTTAGCGCCGACGGCATCCAGCAGGTCGCCGATGCCGAACCAAGCCGTTGTCTTCATGGAGTCCCTTGTCCGATCCTTCCCTGGCCGGATAGCGTGCGGCAACAGCACCACGCTCCCCGCGCACTGCGCTGCCGCCGTGTCGGCTCCGCCCTCGGGCTCGTTCACGAACACGCACTACAGGAAAACGCCTCTTTGCCGACTGCTTGCCCCGGTCGGCAAAGGCATAAACCCAGTCGGCAAAGGCTTTGCCGACCGCAAAGCCACGTGGCAGTCGGCAAAGCCTGGGTCGGCAAAGGCGGATTTGCCGACTGCCACGTGGCATACAGTCGGCAAAGCCTTTTGCCAATCGCCACGCCCGGCGATCGGCATAGTTACGCGGCGCCGTCGACCTGACGGCGAAGCTTTGCCGATCTTTGGTTCCTCGGGCGATCGGCAAAGAATTTTTTTTCAAAAATTGTTTGCCGGATCGCCGCCAACTTCGGCAATCGGCAAAGAAAGAAAATATTTTTTTGAAATGTTCTTTGCCGATCGCTTTTGAGTTGCGATCGGCAAAGGTTTGACCTCTTTGCCGACTGCCTCCCATTGCAGTCGGCAAAGACTCTGTCCTGGGTTTTTTTTTTTGCTTTTGTTTTCTGTTTTCTCGCATCAAAACCCTGCAAAATCACAAATTATAATCCAATTTCACCAGAAGCACCGGTAGCACCATTTATATCACAATTTCATCACATTTGTCGCCAACATCACCACATATATCACAATAACGCACAACATCACATATATCTCACATATATGTCACAATAACAACCACACAAGTGCATTACAACCATCACATGAAGTCCAACACATCGAACACCACAAGTCGACGTCCATCACACGAAGTTCAACATAACAAGTCTAGGTCCATAACGAAGAAAAGAAATACATGACAACAACTTCGACGATACGGTGGATACATGATAACAGAATCAACAAATACCTAGCTCGTCGCGCCGTCCCCGGTCTCGTCGTCCGCTCCGCCCCCAGAGCCCCCAGGGTTTGCCCACGGAAACCCCTTGGACCAGCCGAGAAGCGCGCTGGCAGATCTTGCCACCCTCAAGCGCTTGCCGTGGCCACGAAATACGTCGGAGGAGGGCCACGCGGAGGTGGATACGGTGGATAGGGTGCAGGTGGTGGATACGACATCATCTGATGGCTGGGACCTCTAGGAGACGGGTTTGAACCCGCCGACTGTACCTGCACAAGTTAAACGCCAAGTGATGTCATTAGTATCTGCAGCATGGACGCACAAGTTAAAGCAAGAGTCAATATACTCACCGGGGTCCTCCGGGGCGCGGCAGAGAGCAGCACAGGAAAAAACTCTAGAGGAGGAGAGGCGGTGGAGCGAACATTGGAAGAGGAGGCGGTCTAGACGCCCGAGGCGTCTGCATGGACCGGAAGAAGCTGGCCATGTTCTCGCATCCGAGTGTTGTAGTGTCGCTGCGGAGCTTTGCCGGTAAGCCATCTGTTGCGCCATCATCTGCTGGCGCAACGTGGCGATCCTCTCCTCCATCTTGGCCTCCATCTCGGGCTCGCAATATTACATCCGCAGTGTTGATTGTATGTACAAAAGTGCGAAACGAGTGAACGACGAACGAAACAAAGACTTACCGTGACGCCGACCGCCGCCGGGCGCTACGGGATGTCATTTGGAGCTCGTGGGCGTGGATCAAACTGGGTCGGCCAGAGGAAACAGGGGACGGGTCGAGGCGCTGTGGGCTATGTAGTAGCGGCCGTCTTTGCTTCTGGTCCCAACCTCTCGCAGGAGGTGCGTGTCCGAGGGGCTCGGCGGTGGGGTCGAACGTCTCCCGTGAAGCGTTTGGCGAGCCGCGACGGTGTACTCGATGGCCTTCTCATAGGCGATGGGGTTGGTGTACGATCGGGCCCGTCCTCCGGGTTGTAGACGTTGTTCGGATCCATCGCCTTGCCCTTGTGAGAGAGGAGGTACGCGGTGTACTCGTTGATTTCACCCCCCAAGCGCTCAAGGCTCGCATTGAAAACACAAACATGGTTACAAGTATTGACAATTGAGCCCAAGGATTAAGACATGAACGGACGATACCCATCTTGTCGCGAATCGGGGAGGGGCTGATTCCCTTGGTGGTGTGACACCCCTCGCATCTGGCTGGCGGCCTCGACGGTCGGCGCGCCTCGCGGACGCCTCATCAGGCGCCACATGCGCACAATCTCAAATCCAAGCATTCCTCGTGGTTGTCGCACCACGACGGACACACCTGCATGACATCAAGTATTTGACATGCGAGAAGATTAGTGTAATGTTTCACTGAAGGAATCTGAACGAATGTTGTCATACTTAATTACCTGCTCGTATTGCGCTTGGGTGAGGTCGGCCTCCCTCGAGTTCATTCTCTGGCGGATTTGGGGCTTCTTGATGTTCTCTCCAAGCACGTTGGCGTGGAAGTCGCGGATGGCCTGTATGCGCGCCTCATGGTACAGGTCCTTGAGACGATCTTTGCAGACCGCCTCCTGCACTCGCGCCGCCTGGGCCGCTTTACCCTCCTCGCACGTGAAGAAGTCCTGCACACAGACACATCATGTAGCATTTCCTTTTTGCAAGAAGTCCGACGAATGCGTACTATTTAGCAATGCGGTGCGATGAAAGACTCACCCAAAACTCCCTCTTTATCTTTGTCGCGATGGTCTCGCCACCCTCCTCGATGAGGTAGAAGTGGGACCACTTGGTGGGCACCTTCATCTCGCCGTTGACATTGACAAGGCCAGGGTAGTACTCCTTAATCAGGAGGCCCTGGATGCCATTGATATGGCGTGCTTGACCTGCTCCACTCACAATCTTCCAGGAACTGCACGAGTCATTAAGAACAATTGTTAGTCTTCAGTTCGATTTTTGACATGTCATATGAACAAGTAGTGAAATCAATAATGGTTACTTACGTCTGGCCCACGGGTGTGATCACCGGGCGCTGGTGGAATTGCGGCCGCACCCTAGGAAGCTGCGTGGGCCCGCGCGAGTACACCTTGGCCACGCCTGACGAAGTCGAAGCCGTCTCGCCTGGTGTAGGCGCGTCGTCGCCGTCGTCGTCGTCATCGTCGTCGTCGTCGCCGCCCCGCGCTCGTCGTCACGCGACGTCGTCCCCCCTTGCGAGGACGAGAACAGGCCTCTGGTTGCTGGCGACGTCATTGGGGCTGGGACCCCTCTTGGACGACCCGCAAGCACCAACACCTCCTCCTCCTCCTCGTCGTCGTCGGCGGTCTCCTCTGGGGACTCGGTATGCCGAAGCGTCTTTGCTTTCGATGCGGCCGCCGCCGCCGCCGTCGCTGGCATTTTGTCGAGTGCACCGCAATGACAAAGAACACAAAACTGTTAGCATAAATAAATGACAAGTACTTGTAAAGGAACATAATAATAACAATATAGTATTACATGGCCTCGTAATTATCTCCGCGAACGGCAATATCTCGGGCGTGGAGTCGTCATCTCTATCACTATCGTCGTCATCGCTATCAATATTGTCGAGCTCCCTTAAGTCATCACTGTCATCATCATCCTCATCGTCTCCATAGTCATCATCATGTACCTCCTCCTGGACAACTCCATCGCGCTGCATCTGCCATCGCTCAAGCATTCTTAAGTCCCTAGCATCCTGCACCTCCTCACCCTCGTCCTCATCGATTTCGTTGTCTACTTCCATGCCCATGAGGGAACCAATGTCGATCTCCAAGGTACCTTCTAGCCCCTTAGGTTGATAGAACTCATCGGTGCTTGGGTCAAAGTTGTAATCGTTGTCGTTTGGGAGAGGCGCTTTGCCGCGCGGCGACACCAAATGCACAAGGCTCCACCCCGCAAGCTTCTCGTCTTTTTGGCACGCCCATGGGAGGTAATAAACTTGCGTGGCGTCTCGGTTGGCCACAATGTAGACATCGTCTCCTTTATAGCTGGAGTCCTGTCGAATCTCGACTTGACCTATCGTAAGGTCTTTCCTCGTGATATCAGGATCGAACCAATGGCATTTGAATACCACCGGCGCTAAAGTCCCGGCACCCTTAAAGTTGAGCTCGTATATCTCTTCGACTATGCCGTAGTAGTCCTTCCCATCCGTGCCGGGCGTACGAACTCCGCAGCACATGGTTTTTAGGTTGGGTCGACTCTCCTCGTAGCTTCTCGTGCGAAAGCGATAGCCATTCACATCATAAACGGTGAATGACTTCACCCTACGGGAGAAGCCACGACCCACTGTTTCAATTCATCGCTCATTTCGCATCCGTTCGGGCCTGCAAGGGTAGGAGATCGTTACATAACTTCGCTCCGGGAGCAAAGTGGAATCACAAAGTCGGAAAGAGGTTAGTTGGTTGGTACCTTTATGCAGAACTGGGAGATGAAATCGGCACAACGTGTCTAAGAAGATTGTCTTCTTCTTGCTCGGTAGGAGCCCTATTGCCTCTCCAGTATTGACTAATAAATTCCCTGAAAGAAGGAAGAAACTAGAGGGTCAGACCATGATAGATGGAGGATAGTGACGGCGTAGGTAACAAGCTCATTGAGAACTTACTTCTGATAAGGAATCACTTCATCAAGGTTGATCAACAATGTGAACATGATAGATCCGCCACTCGATGGTTCAACCGCTTGTTGGTACTGCGCTTCCACTCCGAGATCCCCTTGGAAAAGTGAGTATCGATGAGTTCTCGTCAGCGTTGTAACGAGGGGTTGGATTGTGCATGCTGGGAAGCTTCTCAGTATAGTACGCCTGTGTGAAGGTCGACACCTCCTCTAGAACGGAGGCCTCTCCCACGGAAGCCTCAATCTTGGCTTTATTTCTACAATTTTTCTCAAGAAGCTTTAGACACCTCGATTGGATAGCACCAACGGCTCTGACGGACCCCCCAACCGTGCCTCTCATGTGGTAGGTGCAAGATCGAGATCTTTGCATGGGGAGTAAAGAAGCCGGGTGGAAATATCATCTCCAACTTGCGAGCAACAGAGGTGCAGCCTTCTCGAGTTCAACACAAACATCCCGAGACAACTCCTTGGCACAAAGTGGCGGAAGAAGAAGCTCAACTCTGCCGGGGCGCCACACATGCTCGGGAGGTATCCCGGGTCATCGCAG